CTTTCGTAGTGTGCGCAATATATTTCTATTCGGGCGTGGTGGTACGCGTAACTTGAAATGTATATACAAATTCGAGGGCCAACGGGGCGAACGTATACGTATCAAATTGCGTAAGGTGACTACGTTGAATCGGCCATGCATGTCACGCGTAGACGAGGACATAAATCGTTCATTTTGTTACGGTGACACAAATGCGCGTATTGAGGTGAGTCTTCTTTATTAAACACTTTGTGCAATAATTAGTTAGAATGGGTTAAGAGTTCAGTAGTTCTAAAAAAATTCGACAACAGGCCGCAGCAGCCTAATTTGGTACTAATTCCCGCATGCTCTTAAACCAGCTGGATCTCCAGTCATTCCTTCTAGAAATGCGGAGCCTCGCACGTTGCCTGGTAAGGTCAGCGATTGCATTCTTTCAATTAGAACTGTTTAAAAAAAGGATTATAGAAGGGCTCTATAAGGTAAACGGATGCATTTTTTCTTTAATAATTGGTTTGTAAAACGTGGAGCCAAGTAAGTTTGCTAAGTAGGGTGAGGAAGATTTGTAATTAAGGCATCCCATTTCTGTCCAAAGTTCGGTATTGTGACAAGGTTGCGTCCTACTAGTCCCAACCAGACGGTGACCAAAGAGACGCAGCGTAATTTAAAGTCAACTTTCCATTATCTTATTTGTTGACAACAACGCTCCATTATTGGCAATTACGGTTGCGGTAATAGTCGTCTTTATTTTGTAGATGAGAGGGTAAACCTCAGTGCAGATTACGCGAGAAAGATCAGAGACATCAATTCCACTTCCGGATTCTAAATTCGAGCAAACGTCAACGCAGGAGATCAATCAAACTACCCCAGGTGGCGGAGGAAGTTTTGTGGTGTAGAAGTTAAACAGTACCGGTGAAAGGGCACCTCCTCCTCTAAATCTCGAGCTTTGATTTCACTCCAGGCAACTCTCCGTTCACTCGTTTAGTCACTAAGGGAGAGAGGATGCTTAATGTCATTTAGTGGCGTGGAATGAGAAGCAGTGCTAAAGGTCTGGACAAGTCTTGCACAACAAGAATAGTTCTCTACCAGGGTTAGTTAATGGTTAATGCCTCCAATTATCTGAGTATTTATGACGTTAAGCGGTTCTTTGCACTTTACAGAAGCCAAGTTGATGCCTAGTGACGGTCCGGATGGTATTGAAGTTCGCGAGTAGTAAGACCTCAAATGTCTTACTACTGCGAAAGAGTTATCGACCGATAAGACTGCCCTTTTTTTGGCTGGCTTCCCAGGCATTATTACTGACCTCCCCACATCGGAAATGATCAGAGTAAAACCAACGGCAAATTGATAACTTTAGTGTGATACATATTCTACTCCGCCGCAATAAGTGTTTTAACTTCAACATGCATAGTCCGTTTGAGCCAATTGCCTTTGATGATTTTGCCTTATCGATGGCCACTTGAGCTTTAAACCTGGTTAAAATAAAAGTCACAAGGGCTTTTCAGAGGTAGAACAATCTTCTGGTCCCTCTGGTTTGTCCTATCTAACGATTCGTCCTGCGTCTGAAATAACGGCTAAAATACTTGGGATTCTCTCACCTACTGCTGGGACTTCCGTTATTCATTCGAAATTGTCTTCCTCATATCTTTTCTCAACGAATGAGAACGTCCAACGAAAACTCTAGAGCTTCGATTCTGCTATTCTTCTGACTTTATACTTGTTCTTCTTTAAAACTTGCCAAAACGAACATCAATCATTATTAGCCATATTCTTGATCTCGAAATTTCTGGGATTGACTAATCTGGACAAACAGCATTTCTTGGACCTACTTAGGCTCTATTACTTTATGTTGCTTTAGTTCCTTAGTACACTATGTCAGAGTTGCTTCGAACATTTGCTGTAGAGACCACGTACTACATAGAAAGGCTTTCTAGAAAATTTTTGCATAAAGTATATTTCCTCAAATTGATCCAGCTGATCTATCCACTATATGGTTAAGTCTGTCCAACCAACTCTTTTCAAAACTAGAGACTCTGATGACCTGATCCCTAGTGTCGTTAGCCATATTGAAAATTAGACCGGCATTCAAGTTACTGGCACAAACTTTCCACTGGAATGAGTTCATGCCAGAGACGGTTTATATTACGCCAGTAACTGGACTGCTTGCTACTGGCATAGTGCAATAATGTAAACCAGGCATTACTTCTAGTTTTGTACTTCTAAAAAGAAATATACATAAGTAATTATTTGCTCTCATTTAATTACTATAACTACTAACACTCCTAATTTTCCAGATCTTCGAACGACCCTACCACGATTCGATTTTACTGCCGCGCGGTTGCCTTTGCAATTCGTCGAACTCTTCGCATCTGCCTGTGGAATACACCTCTACAAGTCGTGATCTTGAAGTGCATTTTACCGCCATAAATATGACCACACTTGACGATCCGGATGCCATAAACTTCGAAGGCATGTTCGAATTCATCAAGGGACCAGCAAACTGCAAAGATGGACGACGGAAATTCGGTCCAAGTGGCACTATACAGATGACGTTCGGTGATGTGAGTATGAATTGCTTGGGGGTCTTTTTAATGGGGTACTTATTGATATTAGTTTTAATCGCCTGCCAATTATCATTCGCAGATGGAATGCCGCACACGACCCTGGTTGATTGAACCTTCGAATGGCAACAAATTTCTCTATGTGCGCCTTAAAGCCA